AAAAAATACTCAACGTAAAATAGTATAACATATTGTCCAACAGTTAGTAGAATAATTCAAAAATGGTACCATTCATAATAAGTAGAATACAGGATTTTTTCGTGTCTAATTCTTTTTGCACATTCTAAATACTTTTCAAAATCTAAAGTACACACGCACGCACGCACGAACGTACGTACGTGCGTACGTATCGGTATACGGATAATCCGACAAGATTACCACGTGCATATAGAGTGACACGACTAAAAACGGGTGACGTTTTCAAAGAGGTTCGTGCGCGAGAAAAAAAAAAAAACGCATCAATTATTCTCACGAAAAAATTGACACGCACGTGAAACGCATGAATAAGGCGCCAAAATGTAAAAGAAGTTTATTATTGTTTGAAAATCAAACGCGAACTGTACGTACGCATGAATTTACTTAAAATTTATTCATCACCCATTACTCTATCCGTACATTTGTTTACATAACTTAACTCGATATATGCAATTACGCCCTTGACCGGTTCTAAAGAGGATGAGATCTTGACAGATTCCATAAAGAGAGAATCATTGAACATTATAAGTATTTGATATCTTGGGATGTTATGCCGTAAATCGTCAAAAGAAAGTTCTTTTTTCCTGGTAAAATCTTACATAATATCTTAGAAGACAAGAATTTGTATAAATCCAAATCCGAATTATTTTGTATTAATAATTAGAAAAATGAATATATTGTTGTAGTATGTTGAATTATTTTCTTTTTAATCTATCCTTTTGAATGTAAATGGTAGAAAGCATGTGAATTTTTAATAATGTTCAAAGCTCACCAAAACTGAATATTTTAAGAATTTTATTATCGGACCGTGCTCCAAAGATACTGGCTCTAAAAAGAAATTTCTGGCTTTAAAAAGAAATTTGTGTAATGAACAAGAACTTTTTTTTTTTTTTTTTTGATATGCGACTGATATGCGTAATTGAGTAATCGATCAGAGTTTTTTAAAAAAAATTTTTTTTTTGCATTTGTATTACGATAAAAAGACTAAGTCGTGATTGAATGCACGGGACCGCGAGAATCTGGGTCATCTATATAAATATTAAGTCTAACCATAAAAGCCGAATGAATGAACTATACCGACTGGGATTTATTATGAAAACTTATGGAATGATTTATTGAATATCTCTTCATTCTTAGGATAATTTTTAACGAATTGGTAAAACAAGCCTGTCATTAAAGTAAAGTTGATAGAAAAAAAAGTCATTTAAAGTAATTTTAACACTCATAATATAAATAAATTTGGTAAATTAGCATGTACCCGCATTTATAAAGAATCGGAGTACCTATAAGTATATTTGTACGTACATTGTTTAAAGATAAAAGGTCTACAAAAAAAAAAACGGGATCCTAATTTTGGATGAACTGGCTAACTGATAGCTTACTACCGTAGTACGTACATTCTTAATTCATTTTGGGTAACAACCAAGCAATGCGCCGTATGTACGTACGTACGTACCTATGTACGTACAGTACAGTACGTACGCATATACTGTACGTTACTTGCGCACGCATATACTGTATGTGCGTATGTTATATGCATGCGAGGTTTCTAATATGATAGATGCGAGGTTGTTTTATCAAAGTTTTTGGACAGTAAAAAAGTATATAAAAAAGTAAAGGAATACATTCAAAAAAAGGCGCAATTGATTTATTTATATAAATATATTTTATAATTCAAGCCAAAAATCCTTTTATACCGAGTAATTGGTACTTTGAAGGTAGTGACACTGGTAAATTAGTAATGTTGTGTTTCAGATAAATTATGCGTACAACATGTCGGTAGGCAAATATGCCGGCATTTCGGCATATTGAGCTAAAATGGGTAGATCGTTTTTTTTCTTTATCTTTAGGTAAGATGCAAAAAGAGTAATATGCTTCAATGTTTTTTCTTTATTTTTACTTTGTAAAAGGGAACGATGACATTGTTATTTACACTATTTTTTTTTTTTTTTTTTTGCGATACGCAAACGTACGTATGTTTTACGTTTGTACTTACATTAAAATCTTTACTAAAACTATATTTAAAGTTTATACATTCGAGTTCCAGAAGTAGAATCATTGCCTAAACTATTAGCAAAGTTAGTACCGCCTAGTACGTATTAATAAACATAAATATACACTTATATTAGAATAATGGAAATCTTTTTAGATTATGATGCAATTTTTTTTTTTTATGTAAATTTATACGTATATGATCGATGACATAAATTAAGATAATTTAAGATAATTAAAAGATCGGTCCGAACACATGACCTTAATAGCGCGGGAAAACTCGGTGGGATTACCTAGTAATTACCTAGTTTTACTTAGTTTTACTTACTGTCATCTCTCGTTATACAGTTATACAGTAACGAACTCTACTCTCAATATAGCGAAAACTAATTAAATTTCGATATAATAAAGCTAGACCTAAAGTCAGTTTATATGAAATTCTCGGTATAGTGAATTTAAAATTTTGATAGAGAATTTATAAGGTTAAGCGAAAAAAATTAGTTGAATATACAGTATACTATATATCGCTATATATAAGTGATAATTTTGCTTAACTTTACGTATTTACGTATACAGTATGTTACTTTCTACGTAAAATCTTCCAAGATTCTAAATTTGAGCGAAAAGAATTATACCCATATACGTACGTACGAAATCAATACTTTTAAGTTCGTACGTACGTACGTACGTACGTAAATGGGCCTTGGCTACAAACAGATAAGATAATCACAAACGTACAGTAGTACTCGTACAGTACGATATTTTTTTCAAATCATATCGATATACGGTAATTACACGTACAATTAATCTTTAGACTGTATTATTGTCTATTTATAAATTGTAACACTGAAACACTCGAAAAACTTAAAAAACTTGAAATTTTCTCTGGCAAAATCTGAAGTTCGAAACTTTATTCAAGATAAGATAAATAAATATACAAGATAAAAAAGAAAAAGATATAAGATATAAAAAAAAAAGTTTGGATAAAAAATAAGATAAAAAAATAAAAAAAAGATAAAATAAAGTGGCAAATTGGCAAAAAACGACGAACTAAAAACTTGGCAAAATCTGAATTTTAACGGAACAAAAAAAAAAATTTCTGGCAAAATCTGAATATAAACGTAACAAAAAAAAATTTTAAAATTTGGCAAAATCTGAATATAAACGTTAAATTTGGCAAAATCTAAACTAAGAGGAACCGAAAATAAAATTTGGCAAAAATCTAAACATAAAAAGTAACAAAAAATTTGGCAAAATCTGAATAAGTGGCAAAATCTAAAATAAGTGGCAAAATCTGAATAAGTGGCAAAATCCGAATAAGTACTAATTCGTGAACAGTTATTCGCAAAGATAAATCGTGAAATCATTAAAACGTCATGTTAACATATTAAACATGACCCATAAAATAAAGGTTGTTATTTGTACTAGTAGAGTCCTTAACTTACAAATGTAAAAATGATGATGGATGAATTTTGAAATTATGTTTTTTTTTTTTTGAAATTGGAAATCACAAACACAAACAAAAAATTTCGAAAATTGAATAAAATAAAATTTGAGGAAATCACAAACACAAACAAAAAAAATTTCGAAGTTTGGTAAAATGTTATAATGTCAAAAATGTGACGAAAAAACTTAAGGTTGATGAATTGTGTATATACATAATTTAAATTAATCAATAATTTAAATCATTTGCATTCATACATAAATTATATTATAAAAAAATGTTATATCGGTAAATGATCTTAGTAAATGTGAGGTTGGTGTTATAATGTCATATTGTTGGCGAACAAATCATGATCTCCTTCATTTTACACGAATCGTAAAATTGAGAAAAAAGATCAAGGAAAAAGTGACATCTATCAAGAGAACCGCACAAACAATTGAGGTATTTTTCACCCACCCACAATACATTTAGTCGAGTTGACGTCGAAAACAAAATATCCATACGAGAAAAAATTGGAAAAACTACATGCTGCAAAATTGTCAAGAAACCTAGCTCCGTGTGCCGGGTTGCGTCTCTTCTTCAGAGAAAACATGTTTGCACCGTATGCATGGCTTCGTTACTTCATAATACCAGCCAGGAAATAAAAGGGGATAAGTATATATATAAGGGATATAATAATAAAAAATAATATAATGATATATAGATATTATAATAATAATGTTGCAATTATTTCCGGTAGTATATAGGTGTAGGCCGATTGCAGTGACCCGCAAGGAATCTTCCTTAGGAAACGCCTACGGCAGTGACCAGCTTCAATAATTTCAGGACTCTTTTGGAGTGTATCTTTCCAAATGTTTAACGAACGGAGATATTGGTTCCATATCGTTAACACGAAAAAAATGTATGTGTGCGTGAATGTGTGTGTGAAGCTCTTTTGACGATTTCTCTTTCTCTTTGTTCTTTTCTCCAAAGTTACGCCGGTAAGATGAGGAGTAAGAATGGTTCATACTGACGAAAGCGAACTTTTCGTTTCTTTCGCTTTGTCGAAAAGTAGGATTTTTTGTGGTATAAAGCGAACTTTTCGTTTTTTTTCGAAAAGTAAGGATTATTGCAATATTAAAATAAAATTTAATTAAATGCAATTATGCGATGGTTTTTTTACTAACGGATAAAGTATTTTTGCAAAGAGAAATTATCGGTAGAATAATATCGATGTATGGTAATGACGAATTTAAAAATTAATGGTAAAGGATTTTCTCACGCAATCGGTTTGCGCGGTAAATGAAAAAAGTAGATCGAATAGGCTTTCGAAGGTAGAGCACAAACACAAACATTTCAAACATTTTGATATATATAAAGATATATCAATATAAGAACATAGTAGGGGTAACAAAAAAAAGAGGTAAGCACAAGACTACAAAGTTTCGAAGGAATTGTAATGTAATCCAAAGTTGAATTCATTACAACTGTACCCATAATGTATAATGGAATAAGATATGTTCAAATAATAGTATGATGATAAGAGTGTTCAAGGGTATGGTGGAAAGGTCGCCCTTCCCTAGAAGAAAAGAATATCCCTTGGTTCTTCTTTTCTTACTCTCCATGTGGGGTTTTTTTTTTGAAAAAGGGGAAACATTTAGAACACAGCAGTGTTCCACAACATTGAACTGCACCAACTCACAACATCTTTAACATTAGAAGCAATGTTAACACATCGTTCCACAACACCAGAATCATTAATTTCAGGGAATCTCATTTGTTGATTACTCATACGTTTAACTTCAATAGCACTACGTGGTACCATCCTGCGAGGAACATTATTATAATGAGGAACATTATAATGAGGAACAGGAGCTCTTCTTGGTGGAGAACCACGTTGTGGGATAGAACGTGGAGAAGATCTGACCAATTGAGGTAGTGGTAAATCATCATCATGATAATTTCCACCCATCCAAGGACCATCTTTACCGAAAGGTAAATTAAGTTTTCCAGTAGATTTGACTTGTTCTTTAGCCATAGCAAACATTTGATCGTAATTGACAGGTTGCTTAATACCTTGATCTTTAAACATATCATTTTCAGAAGCTAAGTGGAACGGATTATTAACCCTACGTCGGTTAGGAGGAGTTGGTGGACGTACAGTAGAATAATGAGTTGGAGTATAATGAACTTGCTCCAAATTACGACTGAACCTAATAGTCTTTTTCTTTTGTTTAGGTTCATAAGATTTTTGATTTGTATCAGCATTAATTAACATCATTTCATAGGCATAAGAAATGAGATCTTTTAATGGATCATGTTCCACAGGTTTCTTCAAAACTGGTTTAATGTAGATTGATGGAGAGTTCTGAGGAGAGGATGGAGGAGTTGGAAGATCAAAGGAACTTGGTAATGGAGATGCAGAAGTAGCACCAAAGATGGGTGACGGTGGGCAACAAGTGCCTGGTGGACTTCCGACTAAAGTTTTATCATCATCATCTTCCATGAATGGATCATTATCAGGTTGATAAAGGGGTCCAAATAACCAAAGAATATCGCATTCTTTTTGCCTATTTATTATTGAAGAAATAAAATAATAATGGTTGTTAGTATTTACAATGATATTTTTGTTTGTTGGACAAGTTGGACAAAGAAGTAAAACGCAATTGTTATATGCCTTGTTTCACCGCATGTAGACATGAAAGACATAAAAGGAAGGGTAATAATAAAAAGAATAAAAGAGGGAGATAAAATAAAAGAGGGAAATAGATATATATAATATAATATATATATATATATGATAAAGAAAACTTAAAAGACCGTCAGGGGATAAGCCCGCCAAAAATAAAAGAGAGGATAATTCGGGTAATTATAAATCTTTCATAAAAATGTCCGTGTGATCAGCCGATGAGTTGTATTCGGCAGATAGATGTTACACGGATCATAGTTAAGATTCCAAAAGTAGGATACAATAACAAAATTGACAGGTTTTCTGGAAATCATATCGTTTGCGCGCCATCCCCAAAATTTTTTTTTTCAGCCCAAATTACAAAGTTTGTGAAACGGGGTACAATTGTGCCTCCCCCAAAATACCAACCAAATGAAAAAAAAAATCAAGACAAAAAGTTTTTAAAGTTATCTTACCATTTTAAAGCTTTTGGAGAGACTAATTTATTGCCTTTTCCAACGCAACCAACAGCAGAACCCATACGTCTCCAAAGGGCATTCTTCATACGAATCAAACGTTTCTCTTCGGCACGAAGGGCAGACTCATATTTTTGTTGTTGAAGTTGTTTGCTAATGTTACCAATAGTCTTACCCGAAGAGCGTTGTTGTTGAAGAGGACGAGAATTTTTAGGTTGTTTTTGATTGAAAGATTCTTCACGACACTTTTCTTGACAAGTAGCGAGGGCTTGGCAAACTTGTTTGTAAGAAGAAATAACATCAGTGTCAGACCAGTTATGAGTATGTCCAAGATAGTCGACAGATTGGTTGGCAGAATAAGTGATTGATGGTTGTTCCATTTTTAAAGTATGAGTGGTTTTTTTTTTGAAAATTGAAAAAAAAACGATGTGTGTATTCGTTAAATAAAAAAAGAGTATTTTTTTAAAAAAAAATGTATTTACAAATAAAGTGATATAATACAGCTCATTAAGTAGTAAAAAAAATAAGTGACTTGTATATAGTCGTTGATAGTTTTACTAAAATATTGTCTCGTTTTTGTTGTTTGTTGTTCTCTCAGTTGTTATAATAGAAACTTCAAGGAGTTGTTTTTTTCTTCAAATGAGAACACTAATCGCGGTTTTTTGAAATCAAAGAAGAGATATGATACTATATATATATCTTTTCTAAGATAGCGTAAGCAATGGAATATAAGGATGAAAGATGAGAAGAAAGGTATTTATTATTTCTTCTAACTTTCAATAGAAAAAATTGCAAATAAATTAAAAAAACGTCAAGCAAGAAAAAAAAAAGAAAGGTATTTTTTTTCCGTTAATTGGAATTGGGGGAATGTTGCTAGTCAAACCAGCACTTTTAAATAAATTTTTGATAGATTCGCAATTACACAAATCATAATTATTTATATTAAATAAAATAAACTTTGTATTCAATAAAAAAAAAAAAAAAATCTAAATCTATATCTATAGCATATATTATGCTTGTAATTTATTATACGGTCACAGGTTACAGTAATATAAAATAATATATTGTGTACAGTATATCAATAATATGTAGTATATCAATAATATGTAGCTTAAATAATAGTACGTAAAAAAAAAAAAAAAAAAAAATAGAGTAAATTATACTGTAAATGTTATATATAAATATATATATTAAAAAAAAAAATTTTAATTACCGGCATAAATAAAAAACAGGGTTATATATGTACAACAACAACGGTTAAAATAATTACAACGTACATATCATATCTTTTCGGAATATAATAATCAAACATATAAATTATAAATCATTATAAATCAATTTTGAGTATTTTTGAGTCAAGTTAAGGTTTTTTTTTTTTTTTTTTTTTTTTTTTTTTTTTTTATAGGTTAATTTAGAACCCATTATGACAATCCACGCATCATACAACATATTAGTTCAAAATCGGAAGGTGCCGCCGATAGTTGATGGTTGGTCGAAACATACAAGTCATCAACTACTTGAAATGTACAAGTCACTCGCATTCTATCGCTAGCTACCGCTAGATATCATTAGACATTAACTTTATAATTAACTTTATAATTAACTTTATTCAATTATACATTATTACAAAAAGTAATTAAATTCGAGAACCCTTGAAAAAATAAAGGTGATGCGAACTAAATATTGTTGTGGTCGGTGGTGCCAATCAAAGAAATTCATCAAACGTAATGAAACACAAAAGCGAAATTAACAGGTTTAATTGACTGTTTAAATTTAGTGTTACGATGAGTTTCTTTAAAAAATTGATTGATTAGCCTTCAACGAGATGCATTAAGATTAGAAATGGTGTATCAATAAACCCTAAAAATTGACAATAAATAATACAATAAATAGAGAAAAATGTTCAATATGTCCTTTCGTGGGAAGCATAAACGAATCGCATATCTCGCCAATCAACTTTGCCAATCAATTCTTGAGTGAATTGTGAATCAGCCCAGCCAAGACTCTTTATTCATTCATATCATTAGAATTATAATAGAATTATATTAAAATTTATTAGCGTTTAAAAACTTTGACGCGCAATACAAATAAAAAAAATAATCTTTTAAAAGATCATCTTTTTTTTTTTTTTTTGGCGAAGAGGTAAACATTTCTGACCAAAACAAGAAAGAACGGACTAAAACAAAAAAGGACAGTGTCGTAATCTACATTTACCTTATTTGTGGTTAGACGCGATTATTATTATTTTTTTTTTATTATTATTTATTTTAATAAAATATAATAACAAGACTAATGATATAATAATAAATATATATATATATATATATATATAAAATAGATATATACTCAATATACGCAATATACTTTAAAGATAACATGATATATATCGTGTTTTCCTTTACTGTTACCTTTACTGTTAAAGAAAAAAAAATTTTTTTTTTATTTATATTAGAGTCCATTACAATCGAAGTTATTTTTATTTAAAAAAAACCCGAAAGCCGGCCAATAGCTTGATGAAGACTTATTTAATGCGCAGTTTTATTTATTAAACGCCAAAGAATTAATATATATTCATGCAGGTTAGAATTTGTGTGGCAGTTGGTCACTGGATCAAATATGCCATACGTGTGTAAATGT